ACTCAGTAATTTTTCCGCACTAAAAACCGTTTTAAATTCTTTTGGGAAAAGCCTCTGATAAAGGTTGAAGATGAAGGAGGGGCTGGAAATTTAGAAATGATGAAGATGAACATCCGTAGACGCTTGGAGGAGGTAAGTACAGGTTTTTAATCTATGGTCTCTTCGGTTTGTCTGGTTAAGTCAGTATCCAAATAGTTGAATTGGAAGAAGAAGTCATTCGGTTCTTTTCATGCATTTTACTCCAACTATTCGTCAGAGCTTAACGGTCTTGTTTTTTTATTTCTTTTTTTCGAATAAATTTGAAGAGAAATTTGAAGATTATTTTTATTGAATCTTTTTAGGCAAAACGTGAGCAACAGTACCGGAGAGAAATTTGCTTACAAGCCCGCGAGCTGAGATGTGGAATGGAACAAAAGAAATAGGTTCACTGCAGTCAAGACCACACAGCTACCTGAAGTTAAAGCATAATTTCATTCCTAAATGACGAAATTGAGATGTAGATGCTTTAGCCGCTATCATGAATGTTATATTCTATGAAAATCTATAAATTGTTTGAATTCAATAAAGGCTGTGGTCCATATGGTGAATAAGTACGATTCGCTCTATTTGTTGTTGAGCCCTAACATTTTAAGTGGCCCGCCAGGGTAGTGTGAAGACTCTTTAACCCTTTAACTCCCATGACTGGCCAAGACATATTTTCTCCTTACGATTTCAATACGACATCAAACAAACAACTGATGAGAATAAGGAAAATATACCTTGAGTGGATTATCAGTTGATCCAATACCAATTTCCCAAATTGCCATCATAAAAAGTTGTATGATAGGCAATAAAGAGAATTACTAATGAGATCTTTAGAATCAAAGGTTTTATCTCGAGGCCGTTATATTGATGTTTAGTTAAACATCGAGTTACTGCCCCTGTAATTCGCAATAAATTTTCATTCACAATTTACTATAAGCTCAGTGCATCCCCAAGTAAACATCAGGGATCTTTCTGCTTGTACAGCTGCTGCAGTCATTTTTGTTTCACCACAGAAGAAAGGCACGATATTGTTCTTTAAATTTAAGAACCTGGAACAGCAACAAATCCCTATCAGTTTGATGTACAGAGCTCTACATGTATAGCTGAAATCTTGAAGAATATTATCAGGCTGGAATAAGCTCAAACTGTTTTACATAACCTCTTTCCTTTCAGCCGGTAGTCGTTTTAGCATACTCAAATGTTAGCGGTTTCGAAAGATGTCGGCTGTCTTTGTCAAAACTTGTTAAGACTGATGGCTGACAGGCATCAGAACTGTCAACATCTAACCATAAAGCGAAATTTATATCATCACCTGCCGCGGAGAATTTCACGTTAAATTTCACACTAACGGATAAGAGAAGGGGTCAGTACTTACGATAGACTATAGACAGGGTTGCACCTCTAGAAAGCTTGACACTTTCACGCT